TTAACAGATGACCATTCACATTTTATATTGATTTACTCATTGATCAATATATTGAAAGATATTTCGCTGATGCTCTTTAGCAAAACAAAAGCACAACAGTATCAGACAAATAAAATTTTATCGAAAACACATGACGGGTCCACATATCACTTAAATTTCCGGTGTTAAATAATACTAAAAGTTTCAAAAACAAAAAAAAAAAACAACTATGAAAAATCTAATTTATGGTGAGTTTTTCCATCTATCATCATGACTAATTGCGTTATTTTGACATGGAACCGGGGGAGAGTGATTGTGCTGGTCAGAAACGAAAAGCACACAAATGATCAAGAAAATATGGAAAAAGAAAGTTATCAAGAAAATATGGATAAGAGCAGGCACCCAGAATTGAAGAAATAAAAAAGAGAGAAAAAAAAAACGAGTTTTGAAGTTGGAAGGGAAATGTATAATTTTCAGTTCAGCAAAAAACACAAAAAAGAGGATAAAAAGAAATTGTAATTCTCATTTTATCGAGAGAGAATATAATTCCCCTGGAAAAGAGCTGCGCTTTTTCCCGGAAGGAACTTGGAAAAGAAAAGGAGAAAAGAAGAAAGAGGAGCTGTGTCTGCGCGCTCCAGCTTCTGGTCGTCGGAATCGATCCACCGTCGCGGATTCCGATTTCGGCAAAGCTGCTGCTGCTGCTGCGGCTGTTCGGGATCGCCGCCGGCCTGTTGCCGTCTCCGATCGCCGACCCGATCGACCTTTGACCGGAGGAGGCGCGTAACATGGGTCAAGCCTTTCGCAAGCTCTTCGATGCTTTCTTCGGCAACACCGAGATGCGGGTACTCTCTCGCCCGCCTCCTCTTCATTCGTCTTCCTCGCTCATCTCCGCGCTCGTCGTCGCAAATGATTGATTGTTGTACCGATTCGTTTGTCTGCGTGTTCGGAAAGAGGGGGGGATTCGTAACTTTCTTTTCTACCGTAGATGTAGTTCGCAAACACGGGAACTGCAGAATCTCCCTGTTTTTCGCATCTCGACTTTACCTACCCTGGGCATGATTAGAAACGGATTATGCTTTGCTTTTAGTGGTGATGACCAATTTTTTTTTAGCTGCACAAGTTTCAATCGATCGAGTATCAGCTCAGGTAGTGGAGATATTTTGCAATGTTGGTTGAGCTTTAATGCCAGCGCGTCTTTTGTTGAAATCGGTTTGGTTATCGTTTTTTGAATGCATATTCCCGGTTGCTCGCCATCTGGGTTATGGATTGGTATCGTGCTACTGGGTGGGGGTTGTCATGTTTTTTGTTCCTTTTACCTGCATTTCGCGATATGTATGTTGGGTAATAGCCTTGTTCTTTGAGGTGGCTTAGGTTGTGATGCTTGGCCTGGATGCAGCTGGTAAAACAACCATACTCTACAAATTGCACATTGGAGAAGTATTATCGACTGTCCCTACTATTGGTAGGTCCATCTTCTTTGTTCATACATTAGGGTGGTTGTTTCATTTGGTTTTAGCCTCGGAATTACCCTTTACGATTGCCCGCAGGCGGTGCTTATTGTAGCTAAGATTTTCGTTCCATGTGATTTGAACCGTGTACTCTATTGCTTAAAGGCTCATCCATCTTCTGGTGCATGAAAGAGCAGGAATCATCTTACATCTGATCGGCTTATTGTGCTTGAGACCTCACTTCTTTTTTCGACCGAGAAGTGACCTTTTTAGTTTGAAAACCGGTGTTAAATGTTCACAGCGGGCTTTTACTGAACTGTTACAACTTTTACCTCTTTCATCAATTGAATCTGAGTCTTCCACCTTTGCTTAATGAAATTCTCCTGGACACGCACAAGTCCCTACTCTTGAAAATTTGTCTTTATGGTCACGTTTCAAATATTTGCACCTTTTGGCTTTTTGCCAGTTCAGAGCAGAAATTGTGTTTGTAATCAAGTCAAATATGGACGGGTTTAAGAAGGAAGAAAACCAGCTCAGCTTGCTCTCACAATGGGATTAACTCTTTACCCTGATCACTCTGTTCTTGAGGATGTCATTATTACATCCCTTTGAAATAAAGAGAAATCCTTCTTGAAGTTGTTGGAATGAAAACTCTTATTTCTGTTGTTTTGGCACCTAAGATGTTTATATAAAGTGGCAAAAATGTCAACTGCTTTGTTGCCATCTAGATTTATTTATTGGGTTCATTGAGTATGCCCCTTAACTGTTACATTGACATACTGCATATCTGTTCCTTTGGAACTTTCATCTAGGCAAACTTGCCTATTTAGTTTCTAGGACTTACAAAAGTGCCCTCCGTCCCGTCATGCTGAGGGTTTCCACCCTGCCATGTTATGTAGTTGACATGTTAATGCTGTTCTGGATGTAACGGGATAAGTGCTGATCGTCTTTTCTATTTGTAGGTTTCAATGTGGAGAAAGTACAGTATAAGAATGTCGTATTCACAGTTTGGGATGTTGGTGGGCAAGAGAAACTCAGACCTTTGTGGAGGCACTACTTTAGTAATACGGATGGGCTGGTAATTCTGCCCTCTTTTAGCTGCATATTTGCTTGTTTACTTCCAAGGTTTTTTTTCATAGGCTGAGTGTCCTAACAATTTATTCTATAGCATTTACGTTCTGTTATATAACCGAATTATAGAGCTTAAGAGGGGCCAAGTTTTGCAGTGTGCATGTGGATGAGAAATGTATGTTTGAGACAATTGTTAAATGCTTTGTTGCAGATCTATGTTGTTGATTCACTGGATAGGGAGAGAATTGGAAGGGCCAAAGCAGAATTTCAGGTTATATTGAGATGGCTGACATATTGACTGTGGCTTTACGTGATTAATGCTTTTTTTAACTTCTGCTTTTCCTTCAGGCCATTATCAATGATCCATTCATGCTCAACAGTGCCATCCTGGTGTTTGCGAATAAACAAGACATGGTATATTCATGGACCTCTTCATTGCAAGAGGCCAGGTTATCTTGTTCCATTTTGAATTTTTAGTTAGGGGGTTTGGTTGTACTGTTATTTCTTCTCTCAATTCTTTGTATTCATCCGTTGGTGGATTCATTAGAAGTTAATGTATAAACTAAAATAAGCAAATCAATCTACATTAAAATGGGCTTGAAATTTGGCCCTGAAAGTTGCTGGGAGATAAATGTGTACTGTGTAGTTGCCTGCATGAGAATTAGCTTTTAGTTAGCTAACCATTGGGCTGTAACTTACTAGACTAGGAAAGAAAAGTTATGTTTGCTTAACGTTTTCATGGTAGATTCTTATAAACTTTCTGTTCATGCTTAGACTCTGGTTAGGTTTCTCCTTTAGACTAATAATAAAGATTACGTATATTCTGACTTCAGTTGGAACACTCTATTTGTGTATGTCGAATAGATATGTGTCATCTGTAGAAAAATCATGCGAATTTGTCTTCTTGGGTTTCGTTTCAAATCATGTAGCACTTCTTCTTTATTAGGTGAAGTTGCATACAATGTCTTTGTTATCATTGCTTCATGCAGATATATCAATTGATGCTGTAATAATAAGATCTGTACATTTTCATTGAGGGCGATATGTGTGATTACCCTTTGAGACTTACCTTCTTTGTTACCATGTCCTCTAACACAACCATATTCAAGGTCTATTTTTCAAGTGCTCACCAATAACTTCTTAGATCTTTATTTGTTAAAAAGTCCAACTCAAAAACTTAAGCTAATAGGTAGAGGGAGACCGCATGAATATGAAGAGCATGTAGGACTTGTTGTCAGGTGATGTGGGACAAATTTTCAACACCCCCTCTCACGTGCAAGTCGGATTATGAGCAACACGTGGAATTTTGACTACGCACATTCACGTTGAATTTTGATCATGCACATTCGCAAAAGGAATAGGACTGGCTCTAATACCATATTAGATAGTCCAAGCCAAAAGCTTAAGCTAATAGGTAGAGGGAGATTACATGAATATAAAGAGCGTTTAGGACTTGCATTGTCAAGTGACGTGGGATAATACTTCAACACTATCCTTTTATTGGGAGACAACTGGGAAAAATCAATGCTAAATGACGGATGCAGTATGTCTAATCAGCAGATTTTTGGAAGAGATACAGAGAATGAAGAGCCACTGTTTAAACTGCAAGTCTTATGAGGGTTAGAGAAGTAACTTTACTTTGCTAAATGAGATGTTAAATAACTGAAGTTCCATAATATATGCCTATTGCAAATTCCCTAGACTGAATTAACAAATCAAAGGAAGCAAGTTCACAGTGGTCTACACATTACATAAATTGTTTGCTGAATTAGCTGCTAGATTATACCCTTTTAGGAGATTGATCTGAACAGGCAAACAATGAGATATGTTAATATGTTTTAGAACTAGGTTCTTTATCACCTTGTGATTTTTTGTGTTATTCTGGCCATCAGCTTTAGATTGTTCTAAAGTGGTTAAGACATGATATCAGGCTTATGATCTATCTTTTATTTGTAGAAAGGAGCCATGACACCAAGGGAAGTGTGTGAAGGCTTGGGTCTCTTTGATCTTAAGAACAGAAAATGGCACATACAGGGGACTTGTGCACTCAGGGGAGACGGGCTTTATGAGGGCTTGGACTGGTTATCAGGAACCCTGAAGGAGATGAGAGCGGCTGGATACTCTTCCGTTGGAACATCATCCTTTTAGAAATCAAGGTTGGTATTCTTATCTGATTCCTGCGACCATCATTAATTGAAAGTCCTCACTTCGATCCTGGATGATATTTTAGAGCTTTCTGCTGGTTTATCTCAGGTCTGCAAAATGACAATCTGACATTCCTGTAGTTACGCATTGGAAGTTACTCAAGTGTTCTCTGAATTTTTGTGGGTCGTTAAAAGGTGAATGAAGCTTGCTTATTCCGCCTCAAGTACTGTTGGAATTCAGTTTTCCCGTGTACTTTTCTTCTGCAAAGCCACTATCAGGTTGCTGAATTGTATACCCTTGATGAATCGGGGATTTGGACGTACCGTAGATGCTTTTTACTGTGTATATTTTGTATAAATCTCTCTCTCTCTCTCTCTCTCTCTCTCTCTCTCTCTCTCTCTCTCTCTCTCTCAAACCAAAAACGCTTGTGATGTGTCCGAGACATTTGAGTGTCTAAAGTAGTCTTCAATATATTACCTTCCCATGCCGAGAACTGCCAGTGGTGATGCTGACCACGTTGCAGTTCTCACAAGGGTTGGAAGTGGCTGTGTGTTGTCTGGCGCCGCTTTTGTATGAATGAATTAGCTATCAATGATTGGCATGTAGGCAACTACCTGCTCGTGGCTTCTTCATATTTTAGGTTAATCCCATCAAGATAAATATTTATTGACAATCATATATGAATGAATTGGATTTCTCAAATGTTTCCCTTTCCTTCTTTTTGTCTTTTAGTTTCAAGGAGGTATTGCTGAGTGGGTAATTGGTTCATGGTATCATGAGTTCCTTTCCGTCAGAGTAAGATAACCAAGGAATTAGAAAAGCTTATTCGTTTCAATAAAGAATCACTCAAACATTGATATGATTTCTACACCATGCTAGAATGTAAGAACGGAAGGTGAGGCTGAAAAGCAAACAAGGTTTTAGTAGTTTCAGGGACCACTATGTTGACCAAAGCAAGATAGTGTCTTTACGGATAGTCATCGAAGAGTGTATGGATTGGTTAATTTAAGCTAAAGCTAAACGTTAGTAGGAGTTTGGCTCTAGCTCGGTTAGAACACCCATTTGGTAAGCAGGAAGTCTCAAGTTTGATTCTCATCATGAGCAGACCTTAGACAATGATATTTCCTCACTCTCAAATATCGAATTATATTTTATTGTCATCCTCCAAAACCATATGTAATTTGCTTGGATTGCAAAACTACATTCTACGTTCTGGACAATGGAGGAGCTCTCGACCATGACACCCTGAGCCACTGTTATCAACACCAACTTCAAGTTCCAAGGCAAAAACCATTGTGCCGTTCTCTGTCTCAGAAATTTAACCTACCGTAATTGACCTCCATATTTATACCTAAAAATTCAATCGCTTACTCCTCATCAGACTATTCCATGTGAAATATCAGTTTTCTGTTTACAAACTAATCCAAATCAGGTGACAGTCAAGATACTTGCATTGCAAGCTAACATTCTATCTTCCGCCAAAATTCTCAAAAGTTGCATCACATAGACAGAAAAGCCCCTTGATTAGAAAACCATGCATGCGATGCTGGAAATGAATTCTAATTGTAAAATCATAACTGCCTCCGCTGTTCCCGCACAACAAAAAGTTGTTCCCGCACAACAAAAAGTCAGATAAGCATAGAGCATTTCCCTATGTATTATAATCCATAAATTTGATAAGATAACAAGTACGACCGATGTAAGCTAAAACATAAGGATACTGATGTAAAGCTAAAACATAGGGATCGTCCTTCAGATAGAAATCAGCAGTGTCATCTACAATGTCTTAGAATGCACTGCGTGGTTTCCCTCATCGCTGCAACATGGAAGAAAAGATGCCATCCATAATCAAAGCCCACCCTCACCAATCCGTGATATTGGACAAGCCTCAGCACTATCTGTGCAGAAAGAAGAAATGAAGCGGGTTGAAACCGCAAAATCGACTAGGAGCTAATGGGCGGGGAAGAACTTGTTTCTGACGGACCGACTATTTCTCCGAAGGTATCCATGTCAGCAGATATACCCTCATCAACATCAGCCTCCTCCATTGCAGCCATTGTTTCATCTCTGTCCCCCATGACGACATCAATTCCATCTTGCTCTAAATTAGATTGCAACTTATCCTCCTCACTGGCTTTCTCCGGGTTATCAGAGTCCTGTATCATCATTTGCTGGTTGGAACAGCTTGTGAACATAGATGTGACCAACAGAATCTGCAAACAGGAGCAGTAAGCACAGGTCGGTAGGACCTTAATATGTGATGAGATACAGACGAGAGATGTGAATGGAACGGTAATAGTCATTCCTTGACTTAGCAACACGAAAATAGGAAGCAAGTGGAGAGTTGATAATATAAAGAACAAGCAACACCAGCGAAAGGTAAAGTTCTAAGGGAAGTGGACATCTGACCACGTCTCTTACCTATATCCAATCAATGACCCAGGTGCTTTGGAGTCTAAAAAGTAGAGAAGAATTTGGTTCTTGAAAAAAGACTCTTTCTTTTCAAACAATTTCAGTCATTTAAAAGATCTCAAAAAATATCCTCCAAAGTGATGTCAGTTGCACCATCACGGTGAAGGCTACAATTTGTTACTCTTATATTGCAGTTTGACCAAATTATTTAAGGAGATACAGTAGACTCTGCCCCACCTCTTTAGGTGGCTCATGCATTAAAATTTTTAACAGAGATAAGGGTTAAAATAGAACCAGTAGAAAGAAAAAGGCCAACAAAAAAACAAAAGCCAGAAAGTAGAACAGCCTGAGCTTTGAAGGAAGATGAACATACAAAATATCAAAATCAACCTCTAAAGTATCAAAGTATCAAATTGTAAAGCATTTTGCTTCGCATCTAATATTCTCTATACCAAAGCCATAATTTTAGCATCACAAAAGTATCATTCCAGAGGCCAATCAACAAAGAGATGGAGCATGGTCGTGACAGGTTAGCTGGACTTGTTCCTGACAAGCAGTGAAGATATCATTATTGAAACCAATCAACAACTTTCACCGTTGAAAATCAAACAAAGTATTTGCTAACCAACATTTCATCTCGGAGGAAGCTTCATTCCCAAAGGAAGAGCATTCGGGATTGCACAACAGTCGTTCAAAATGAGATGATCTCATATACAAGTATATGCAGAAGTAGCCTCCAGCTTTGAGCATGATTGACAACAAACCTTTTCCAGTGCTAAAGCAAGCTTTGAGAGTTTTGGATATATGCTCCGTGCAGACAGAAGTATCTGTAAAAAGGTGGGAATAAAAAGTACATTACATAGATTTGAAAAAAATCCCTGCAAAGCTCATTAGAGCACAAGAAACAGCAAAAGCAAGTGAAAAATCATGACAGACAAACCCTTTCACCTACTAACCCTCTGCCTTAAGCAATAACCACAAATGCTAAAAAAAGTCCAGCATATACACCAAAGAATCAAAAGAATAGAATCATATAAATTGGGTACTGACAAAAACCAAAATAGGTGATACCTCGCATAGCCTTTGAAGGGTAAAAGGCGGACCCTCGTCGAAGCTGAGAAGAGCTGGAAAATAATACATATACTAGCATCAGATACTAAGTACACCTCATGGGCTCAATCGCACATTAATTATACAAAAAACCAATCAAAGTCACAAACTTGCTTCTAGCACTAAAGGCAGAGAAAAAAGCTGATGGAGGCTTGTTACGTAGCAAAGGTATTATGATGAGCACCCAATAAGCTCTACTTTCGTTACAGGAGAGACACCTTGTTACAGAATAGACTGTATAATCTCAGACGCATGACATACTGAAAGAGGACATCACAACAATCTCTCATGAGAGACATGATATCTAACCATAATGAACAGAGCACTAAACCGAAAAATTGTACCATTCAAGATATTCATGAAATACTGAGTCATATCAGTTAATAAAAGGATGTCCTACAACTTTCAAAACTAAATTTCTTCCAGGCCAACATGCTAAATCAACCACCTAACCCCCCCAAAAAAGGATATTTCTCTTTAAAGAACAGCACTGGTAACTGGAGTGCATAATATCCTACCATTAGAGAGTACTCTTCTTGAACAAGCAAGCTCAGAAGACCAGCAGGAAGGGAATTTATTGTCAAATTATAAGAAGACAAAGGCATTTCCAAGCTAAAAAAGAAAATTTCAGTACAGCCTCGAGAGCAAGTGCAAAAACTCAAGGGATAACCACTGGAATATCATCAAGATTTCAGATCGAAAGTCCTAGATATGTTCTGCCTGTACCGAAAGAGCTGTCAGCTAATTCAACTGCAAGAGTAGCTGACAATTCACATCAACAGCAGATGAAGAGCTAAAGGTGCATTTCAGTATTTGCCAAGTAAGCTATCGATTTTTAAAATTTACCTTCATCCAACCTTTTCACCAACTCTTGGTGGGTCTCTCCCAAAGAAGCACTTTGCTGTTCAGTGGTCATCTTTGCTTCTGGATAATCTGACAGGACCTTCATAGTACGACAAAGTAATAGTCATAAACGGACATTATAAGCCTAAATAATTCAAACCTAGGCCGATAAGTACCGCAATCTTAGACGCTCACATACCTCCCCATACCTGCTTCAGTTTAACAGATAGAATAGTCTTCACTTGATCCCATTCAATCCTGACCGATTAATGAAAAGTTCCACAGAAGTCATTTTGACGTATTGAAGGATGAGAAGACATGCAAATCTCCTACGTCTATACTAAAACTTAACAATAAGGTTCATCAATCATGGTGAGTTTCATGATCAGCTTCTTAAATGAATTATTCTGATTTTCTTTATTTTGCAGAGAATGGTTACGTTGTTGAAGAAATTGAGAAACTTTATCCATTATCTCCTATCCTTTTGGCGAAGGACAAAAAGCAACCCAGTGATGACAAAATCAGAAGAGCATCAAAAGGGGAGCAAAACGAGAAACATGAAGCAAATATGCAGAACCAGAAGAATAGCAACAGCGCAATAGAGAACAAGACAATCTTTTATATCGTAATCCAAAAACTAAGACAAGAAATTTCATCTGCAAGCAAATATGCCGAGGTAAACATGCATCAAACAATCATCATGACTTGATTAGCAATTCAATAAAGTAGCATCGGCGAGAGAGAGATTAGAATGGTGACTGTGATCAATTATGTAAAAAAGTAGGATAATGTGTGCAATGAGAAACAGGACCATTCAAAGGAAAATTGTACCAAGATACTTGCATACCAGAATGTCCCAGAGGATGCAATGGTTTCTATAACTCTTCTAGCTTCTTCCTCGGGAAGATCAAGAGCCGGCACCATGCTTCTAAAATTCTGTAGAGAAGACACAATGACAAACATTAGAGCCAAGCAAGCACCTTGGACACAAAATATCCATCTTCATGCATATCTCAGAGGATATAAACGCTTGTAATAACATCTATGCAAGTGAATACGTAACAAGCTGCTTGAAGTAGAGAGAATCCCAATCTCGTCCATATAATTTAAGAGCATGCTGCATCTGTAAGATTTAGTACAGATAATCTGAATTTGACTGCGGTTGGTTGACAAAAAACGTTGAAAATCTAACACGTTGTGGTTACTTCTTGACTGATGAGAAGGCACTTCAGCATTATTTCTAAGTATCGATGCTTGATGATCGATACGTCTTTGCAGGGTCTAATGGGGCTAACTCTATACCAGAACCACCTTTGACCTCTGAGTAAAAGACAAGGGTATCGGTGGATGTATATATACTGAGGTTCATGGTTTGGTGAGAAGGTGAGAACATGAGATGCCTTGACACTATGAGTTGAGGTACATACTAAAAAGATCCATCTTGACCACTTCCGCCCGCCCAGACCAAAAGCATGCGACCATGATTGCCGGTGTGCGGCCCATTGTGTACAAAGCACACGAGCATTGGGATCTACAAGCAGCGTTCAATTTCAGATCGGCACATTGGGATCTACAAGCAAGAACCAATGCGAATGAGCAGATGCGAAAAGGGGAAAAACGAGCACTCTTCTCGTTATAAATTTTTGCTTCTTGGTTTGTGGGTTTCCTTCTACGCATGGAAAGCCTGAACGACAGAAGCACGAAGCTCCGACAAAAGATGACACGGCCACATCTACAGCCTAAAGCCAGAGGAAAATCAGACAACTGATAGGAGAGCGGGGAAAAAGGAGTATCGGAAACTGAAGTTGGAGGTGGAGAAAACAACGCATCGAAATCAGTGGGTCCATGTATGGCCTGCATCGCGAGAACATTCTCGAGCACATGGAAACCAAGCGAGCGGCATAAGCGTAAGCTAAAGGAGCGACAGGACTCCCGCGAAAGAGGCGGCGCTACCTCGGTGATGTTCGGCGGTGGAAGAGCTTGCGCGGCGGCTGCCGGTGGAGGCGCGGTGGCTGGTCGGTGCGACTGCCGGGTCGCCGATGGCAGAGGAGGAGCCGAGGGATGGCTGATTCTGCTCTTTAGGGCGAATTAATGCCGATGGACATATTCCGGAAAATATACGTATTGAATTTCTACCCGCCTTTTCATTTTAGATAAAAGGAAATTGCATCAACCACCTCCTAATCGTAATTTGTCCACCGTCTTTCTAATTACTGCAATTACCTATTTTCTTTTTTGTTAAATTGAATTGTTACGAGCAGAAATGAAATGCCTTGGCCAATCATATCGCTACCGGAAAATAAAAAATGAGTTACATAAATTCGAAAACTCATCTCCACTTTCCGTTCTGATATCAATTTGTATCCCGAGCTTCGGAAAATCTTCAAATGCAAAATGACCGATCTACCCTCGAACTCATCTAAATCGTAAACGATTCCCCTCCCTCTTCCCGGCCAAGGCCAACTCTGAACTTCGAGAATCTATCGAGCTAGACATGAGCGGAGCTCCGCCGATCTGAGTTGAGCTCGATGCCAATGAAGCTCGATGGGTCGCAACTCAGTCAAGGTGTCGATGGTGGAGGTAGGGCATGCCAGCATGGGCTGAGCAGTTGGTGGGTGGTGTTAAGGTTCTGGGTTAATGGTTTTCAATCGCAAGTGGATTTGAAATATCAGGAGCCGAAAGAAAAATGGTAAATTTATAAATAGTGCTTCATGTTAGACGCAACATGGGAATGCTAATAATGATAGGTTTTCAAAACACAGCGTGAAAATGGAAACGAGAAATTTGAAGTGCAAAAATGCATTTTGATATTTTTCGAGGAACAAGCTACTCCTCACACGGAAAATAGAACTTGATTAAAATCATTGGAAACACGTTGGAGTGGAAGAGTTTAACATTTTGAAACATCTATGGAACTTAATTGACCTTATTTTATGTGTAATTATGGAATGGATTGTTCACTAAATTCTAATTAACTAGCAATTTATTAAATCCAAATATGCTAGCGTCTATGGGCATTTGAAAATATTCACGAGTATAGGCTACTTGTGTGGATAGAAGAAAATGAGGAATTGATTAACTATGTAAGGAAGCTGGTTAAGTGGATAGTTAATGAAAATATGTTCATCATGTCAATTTTTTATTTTCAGGATTCATTGTAAAAGAAAAGGGCGAGACAAATGACACTTTTGGCTTAACATGCTCAATTTATCAATCAAAAGCAGTTGGGTACTTTTCTTTATAATGATCGGCTCTCAAGTGGGCGCAAATGATAACCTTTCTGTTTCTGTCCAGAACTAGTTTTCTGTTCCAGGAAACAAGTTTGTAACAGAAACCTGTTTGGTAACGCAATTCCATTTTTCTATTTCTGGAACAACTTTTTGTTCCAGAACTGGTTTTTGACCAAAAATCAGAACAAAAAAAAAGAGTAGATTTTCTATTTCTGGACGAGAAATGAAAACCATTTCTAAAAGAACCTGTTTTCTCTCTTCAAAACACATCTCTTCCTAAATTTGGCCTTGGTTAGACTGATTCGAACCGATTCGATTTGGTTCATTCCCGTCGGGAATATAAAAAAAATTCTAAAAAAAATTATAAAAATCATAAAAAATTTTAGAAAATTCAGAAAAATCAAAAAATTCGTAAAATTCATAAAAAAAATTTAGAAAATCCGGAAAATTTCTAAAAATCTCAAAAAAAATTTCAGAAAATCCAAGTTTGAAAATTCCAGAAAAATTCATAAAAATTTTCAGAAAATAAAAAATAATTCAGATTTCGGGAAAATAGGAAATTTGGTGAATTTTTTCAAAAAAAAATAAAAAATTTCAAAACTTCACAGGATGACTTAGAATACCTGTGGCCACTCACTTTGAGTAAAATTTAAAATTTTTGAGGTGCCAAAATGGTATTTTTGAAGACTCCTTAGTTTAGGGATTTAAAAGGGGTTTTAAAAAAATGAATTTTTGTTATGGGAAATAGAAATTTGTGTTATTATCAAACGGGTTTCTGTTATAGGAAATAGAAATTTTATACTGTTATCAAACGGGTTTCTGTTCTAGAAATATAAATTTTTTGTCGTTATCAAACGGGTTTCTTTTATCAGAAACTCGTCTTGGAATCTATTTCTGTTTCAGGAATTGTTTCCGGAACAGAATGGTTATCCTTTGCGCCCGTATTTCGCCCATTGTTTGCTTGATTGCTTCTTGTACCAAAAAAAAAACACTTAATAATATTATATATATTTAGAAAATAGAGAGATGTTTAGTTGTTTCTTTGGGGGAAAAAGAAGATTTGCAGAGGTATCTATTTTCCACCTTCCCGAGGGGAAAATCATTATTGTGTTTGGTTTAGCATTTGTAGAAAGTTTTTAGGAAAATGTAAATGATTTTAAGTGAAAGGGATTTGTTAAAATGTAAATAGTATTCGGTAAAGTGTAATTTAAAAATGGGTTAATACCACGAAAAACCCTAAACTGGTACACTTTTGACACATTTACCCCAAACTATTTTTTTGACCATAAAAAATCCCAAACTGGTACACATGTGATAATTTTACCCCGAACTATTTTTTTGACCATAAAAAACTCCAAACTGGTACATCTGTGACAATTTTACCCCGAACTTACCACAAAAAATTCCAAACTGGTACATATGTGACAATTTTACCCTGAATTAAAATTTTAATATTATTTTTTATTTTTTTCGAATTTTTATTTATTTATTTATTTCCTTTTATTTATTTTTTCTTTATCTTCAACCTCTGGACGGTCGCCAATCCGGCGACCGGCCAGAGGCGGAAGCCGGCGCGGGCCTCCCTCGCCGGCGTCGGGCGAGGGCCGTCCTCGCCAGATCCGGCGAGGGCGACCCTCGCCGGTATCGGGCGAGGGCCGCCCTCGCCGGTATCGGGCGAGGGCCGCCCTCGCCTGCGTCGGGCGAGGGCCGCCCTCGCCGGCGTCGGGCGAGGCCTTCCCTCGCCTGCGTCGGGCGAGGACGGCCCTCGCCTGAGTCGGGCGAGGGCGGCCCTTGCCGACGTCGAGCGAGGGCGGCCCTCGCCAGCGGCTGCCGAGGGCGGCCCTCGCTGGCTTCCGCCTCTGGCCGGTCCTCGGACCGGCGACCGGCCAGAGGTTGAAGTGAAGAAAAAAAAAAGAAAAGAAAAGAAAAGAAAAGAAAAAATTCAAAAAAATAAAAAAATAATATTAAAAATATAGTTGGGGTAAAATTATCACATGTGTACCAATTTGGGGTTTTTTGTGGTATGTTCGGGGTAAAATTGTCACAGGTGTACCGGTTTGGGGTTTTTTATGGTCAAAAAAATAGTTTGGGGTAAATGCCGTTTGAAGGAAAAAAAACTACATTTCGTAAAGGTTTTTTTGTTGGTGGTCTTTCTTAAAAAGAATTCCCAAAACTTTTCGGCGAAACTCAGCTGTTGCTATCTAGTGATAGATGGTTCGGTCCGATCCAATGGAACTGATCATTTAGGATTTAGTTCACATTTTACTAATTTTTATTAATAAATTTATATCAATGAAGTTTACTTAGGGTTTAGTTCACATTTTACTAATTTTTGCCAATGAAGTTCGCTTAGGGTTTGGTTCACATTTTACTAATTTTTTTAAAGAAATAAAAAATATATATAGGTACTCGGTCCGGTCCGATCAATTCGGTTCCCCCTTAGAATCGGGAACCGAACCACCAGGACACTAATTCCACTTTTAAGAATCGGGAAATGGATGGCCGGTTCGGTTTAGTATGAGTGGTTCCCAATTTTGGCAGTTTGTTTTGCATGCTTCTAGGCTGCACATGGCAATCATTCTGTGCCCGGGAACAGATTCTGGTCAGAAATGATTCTTTTTTATTCTGTGCCCGGGAACTGATTCTGAGCATTTGAAGGCGTTTGGTAACGGCTCAAAATTTCTATTCCTGAAATAGTAAAAGAACAGAAATGCGTTTGGTAACGGCATAAAATTTCTTCTTATTAATAATATTTTAATAACATTTTAAATATTTTAATATTTCTTTCTTTTCTTTTTTTATTCTCCTCCTTTTTGGTCATGGCCGGTAAAATATTTTTTAATTAATAATACTTTTATTAAAAATATTTTTTATATTTTTTTTGGCCATGGCCGGTAAAATTTTTTTTTATAAATAATTTGTTTATTAATAATTTTTTTATAAATATTTTACTAAAAAATATTTTTATTGAAAATATATATATTTTTTTTCGCCATGGCCTGGTCGCTGGCCATGGCCGGTAAAATATTTTTTTATTAATAATATTTTAATAAAAAAATATTTTTATTGAAATTATATTTTTTTTGCCATGGCCTGGTCGCTGGCCATGGCCGGTAAAATATTTTTTTTATAAATAATTTTTTATTAATAATATTTTAATAAAAAATATTTTTAGTGAAAATATTTTTTTTATTTTTTTCGCCATGGCCTGGTCGCTGGCCATGGCTGGTAAATTTTTTTTATTAGTAATATTTTTTATTAATAATATTTTTTTATTAAAATATTTTAATCTCGCTAGATACGGCGAGGGTGGCCCTCGCGTCAGACATTAGAAGCTATATTAAAAACCAAGAAAAAGAAGAAGAAAAAAAAACTGATTCTCATTTTTGTTCTCAGAATCAAGAAGCTACTTTTTTTTTATTCTTGATTCTGCTCCAAAACTAATTATGGGCACAAATTTGCGAGAATTTGTGCCCAGAATCAAAAAATTAAACAAACGGATTTCTATTCCCAAACTGATTCTGGGAACAAAAGAACAGAATCAAACACTATTTGGCAAGTTGCCATGCGCAACCCTAGTCTCTGGCTAGTCTCGCATGACCCAGGCGACAATATGAAGTACTCGCTTGTTTTTTCGACACCTTCATTCCAGTAACGGCGAGCTCGAAACTTGATTGGCTTTTTTTTATTTTAAATTTGAAGTTCTTAATTAATCAAAGTAAGATCTTAAAAGACTTAAATCATCAATCTTAAATCTACTTTTATAACTCTATGAAGACTACTCCACTCACTTTTCTTGATCATTTTCTTAC